GAGGAGGAGAAGAAGGAGAGAGGACGAGTGTGTGCGTAACCGTGCGAACCGAGACGCTAGAATGTCCCAACTTGATTTGCGTAAACAGCATCAAACTGAGCGTATGAAAAAGCAAAAATTCCATCGAGCAGGAAAGATCGGGGCGAACCTACAAAAATACGACGGAAAATCGCGACGCTTTTTGAGAGAAATGCATCATATTCGCCCTTTGCAATTTTATGGCGCGCTCGCGCGAATTATTTTCAATGCGCGATTCGTTATTGATACGTTTCTGTGTTCCTCGACACAGGGATCGCGAGCGATACCGGGCGGAGCCCGTTATGCTTTCATTTTATTAAGCGTTTGTAATAAAATGCGCGATAAACGACCGAATGAGTGAGCGATGTGCGCGGATGAGGGCGATGCGGTATTACGATACGGTGTTAAACGGGCTCGACGAGTTTCGCGGAAAAATGCGCGGATTGATTATCTAGTAGCACGAGTAGCGCTCGGAGCGATATCGCGACGGAATATATCGCCTCGTGCGAAATTTCGCGTTACGTCGTCGTTGCGACGTCTATATGCTCGCGCGTAGGCGCTTCAATTGTAACTGTAATAAATTGTAATTCTGTTTTGTTCGTTCGATAGAGACGGACTGGATAATAATTTGCACGGGCAAATAACTGCGAACCGACGTGTTAACGTGTGAATTGTCGACGAATATTCACCGTCACGATTCAATCCGTGAGAAATCAAAACGGACGGAGAATCGATCTCTCCGTCGGGCTGCGTTTTATGTCGTGCTTCCACCGCATGTTGGAGGATCGGATTTGTTTTTAACGAATTTAAAGGCAACTCTCTTTCGAGAAAAATTGTCGCTGAAAATTGCAATTTGTTTGTGAGATTTCCAAATGTCGATTATAAATATTAGATATTCCTTGTTTGTCATTTGATTCGAAATTAACTTTTTTTTAAATGGCATTCCTGGAACAATTTCGTGATAAAATATTGAATTTATTTGCTTAAATTTTTATATTTTTTGTTTTTTTATATATTTTATATATTTTTATGTTATTTTATATTTTTTATATTTTTATATTATTTTTATATTTTTTAAAACTCATGTAGCACTTAGAAATTAAATATATTTTGTGTTCTATTTTTCAAAATTCTTCAAAGAAAATAGTCATAAAGTGGAAAGAAAATCTAGACATATGCTTATTAAAAAACCTTTGCTTTAGGATCATAAATTTTTTATTAATCACTGATTAGACATAACATGATCTCAATATCTATAGATGTTTTTTTACCAACTGTCTTTTATGAAATCTCCAATTGTTATAAGTACTGAAGTATTATGTTAGGAAATTGTGATTTCTATAATTTCGATAAACAACTCATAAATAGTAACTTATAAACAACTCATAAACAGCAACAGTAACGGTTAAGGAACAGCATTGACTATTAGCGCGTCTTAATGCTCGAAAATAGAAACGAAGTTTTCTTACAACATTTCTTACGGCATTATAGATTAATGCCGTAATTAATAATAAGTTTTGTAACTTACAATATTTTGCAAAGTCTACAAATAAGATAAAGAGAGAGAGAGAGAGAGAGAGAGAGAGAGAGAGAGAAAGTATTAAAAATATTTGAAATAAGGAATTTAGAACTTCATTTTTCTCGTGCTAAGTGATTAATCTGGATCATTGTTGTGTATGAGTCATTTTAAGTCACCACTGAAAAGGTTGACTTTAGCATAATCTCTCCTCTCTGTCTCTCTCTCTCTCTCTCTCTCTCAATCCGATATTCGTTCAGATCCGACAGACCCGAGATCTGCCTCGTTTGACGAACAGGATTTCGCGGTATTTCGCTATAATTTTGAATTCCGTGCGCGTTCTCTAAATGGTAGTGTTCTGCTCGAGGCACGCAACACGTAACTGTGTAACCAAATATGCTTTCGATCCGGAGAGTATGCATTTGCTTAATGTATATACCGATCTACGTGCGGCTGCTTAGCGTAATGCGCTTGGTGCGAAACTTTGCGGAACTCCGCGAAACTCGTAATAAAGTCCCAAATTTGATATTGACGAGAACAACGGCGGTGTAAAGCAGTTGATCCAACGTGCTTTATCGCGATCGAAATGATTTCGCTCCGAAGATATTAAGAGACACGGTAATGTCTCGCGCCAAGTGCAAGCGCAAAGCGAGGCATAGGTAACGAGAATGGTCGTGTATTATTACGCCGCGCCTCTAGTTGAAAGGTGGCCAGATAATTATACCGATATGAATTTCTGAAAATGAGGTCGAGTGTACGTAGTATCTCGTTCAGTACTGTCGTACTGAGCACAAAACTGGAATGAATGTTTTTCTGTTCCTTCAGTAACTTTCCCAGAATCTTTAAAATAATTTCGTAACTTTTAAAAGTCGCTCTTCGAGAATTGGATCTAGCGTAGCGTTGGTAATAAAATCGCTTTCTCGTGTACTAGTATACGCATTGGGATTTATTCTGCGCATGTGCGAGAACTGGCTGGCTAGATCCTGCTGGTCTAGGTTGCATATCTCGTAGAATAATATCGCCGGGAATACAATTTGAGAGAATGTTTTTCTATTCTCTCAGAAAATTTTTCAAAATCATTAAAATCAATATAAAATTTACTTTCTTTAAAAAGAAGGTAAAAAGGTACTTTTTTTCTTCTTTAAGTTTCGTATTTATGATATATCATTTCTTTTATGTCTATGTTTCGTGTCTGCTTTTATTATCGATATGACGTGAAATTTCATGTTATCCCGAAAAAGAAAAAGTTCTGAATTTAATAAAATCACATCGGCCAATGTAGATGTAATAATAATAATTCAGTTGCGTCGTATTTCTTTAGTTACGCAAACGTAAGCACATGTATAAAGAGTATTTTTCCATATTTCTAAAATATGTTTCAAAACGCATAATTTTCAGCCAAGTTCTTTCTCTGTGCATGTGCGCACACACGCGCGTGGGTTTTTATTCTCGGTTTTCCTTCACGCGGGATTTTTTCAGGTCAAGCTTTTAATTGCTCTAAAAATACGCTCGCGAATCTCGAAATCATGCTTTGATGACGCGCGCGCCGTATTCGAGGGTGCTCCTGTCACTCGCGCGAATCTACTCGCGCACTTCCGGCTCGACGGAAGTTGTGACCGGCGGTACATCGCGTACGAATGATGATTAATCGGATTTCGCAGCGCGTAGATAACTGTGGCACTTTATTTTCCGTCGTTTCAGCGTACGACGAACGCTTTCAGGAAATGAAGGGAGGTACGAACGGGGGAAAAAGAAGCGTGTGCGCTGATATTTGAAAGCCACGTGGAAACCAATACACAGCGCGAACGCGAGTAATTAATAGAATATTTCGCATTTGTGCATGTTATCGAGGTCGCTGCGAACGTTGCTCTTTAATGAACGAATCTCGTGCAACGTGTATGTTTCGTGTATGTTCGTGTACGGTATGTTTCAAAAGACAGCCATACGCGAGCAATGCCCGCAAAGAGCAAACGTGAAAAATAGCTGATCAACCATGAGTCGAAAAAATTGGCACTTGATGAGATGGGCATCCGAGGGAATCTCGATTTTCACGATACAGTTAGCTTTATTGCGTCTCAGCATAAATCCACGTTTGATTCTGTTCAACATGATATTGTGACTATATATTTTTTATTTTATTTTCATGATACAGCTAACCAGCTCGCATTTTTGCACAGATCCACGTTTGGTTCTGTCCGATACTCTGATTTTTATTTTTTTATTTCCATACGATATACAGCTAACTGGATTGCGTTTCATTCACGTTTGATCCTCTTTTAATAAACGGAGAACATGTTATAGTAAAAATTACAACAAAATTTTTGTAATTTTGGACTATACAGAATTATGAAAGGAATTACTATATTTCTGTTTAAAAATGTTATGCACATTTAATTTTTTACTACAAAATTACTGCAATTACTTGAATATTATTTATATTGTGTAGCAGGTAGATAGTCTTTACTATTTATATAATAATGTAAAATACATTATAAAAAGAAATATAAGTTTAAGGTAATTTTTGCTACGATATTTCCTTTGTCCACTTTAAATTTTATTTTTGTAATTTTACACGGTACAGCTAGCTAGCTTATGTATCTCTCTGCTCTCTGCTATCATTTGCATTTGATTCTCCCATATACTTTGACTCCTATCTTAGTACATCGTCTTTTAGTGCATATTTTAGTATATCTTTTAGTAATCGTCTTATAAGTGGATGGAAGCTATTATTTATTCATTTACCTTCTTGAACGCGCAACTCAGCGAAACGGCAGTTTCTCCTGTCTTTTTTTTCCCTTATTTTTTTCTGCACGTGTTGCGATCGACTTTCCCTTATTGAACCGAAAGATTATGGGGCGAACATCGCCGACACATTGAGGGAGAAAAAAGCCATTAATGGCAGCGGCGCGGCGGCACGGGTGTCGGAAAATAGACGAGCGCGAGTGCTCGATCGCGTGACTGCCGCCACTGATACGCCGAGATTAGGCCAGTAAACGTAACCTAATTAACGGAGGAACGGAACGCCAGACTTCTTCCATGTCTCGTTAGCCCACCCCTGCGAAAACTTTTTCTCCGCCGACCGAGAGCAGCGATTCAACCGGTTTTAATTAGCCCGTCGTTACATCGCGAGATACGATTTAATGTATCACGTTGTTTCGCGTCGATAAGCTTCGCGCAACTTCCGAGCCGGTTTGAGTAGTTTTAACAACGAAATTAGAAGTGTTAGGAGCACGCTTGTTATTTTTTTTTCGTCCGAGGTGCGATAGACGATAACATAATTGGTCCGCGACACGACGCCGCGTAGAACGACAGTGAACTTTGTCGATCTTTGGTCCGACATTTTCTTTTTACGCTTGCTCCAAAGGATCGATTGATCAACTGGTATCAACTGGTAACTTTGAACTTATTTCTTCTTTGATCTCTTCTGTTTTATATTTAAAACGGATGTCTTCTTGAATGCTTTCAGGATGTTGGGTAGCGTGGGAGGTCGACACGTGTCTACGCGTCGGCGTGGCAGTATCCCACTGGTGCGTGCTGGTGTGGGCCTCACTGGTGGCTATGGTGCCACTTCGGGGACCGGCGGCCTCGACGGCGGTACGCAGTCGGATATGCCCAAGTATGCCGCCAGGAGACGAAGAGCTGTCACCACCAGCGATCATAAGAGCTGCGCCCTCATACAGACGCGGGTCAAGCTTGGCGATATTATGTGAGTCATAATCATTTTCTTTTTTCTCTTGGCTCCTTGACTAAAGAGCCGTGATGGATGTGTCGTCCATTAATTTCGGACAGCCTGTTCAAATTCATAGAACCAAGAATCCTGAGTAAATTGTAAAGATAATGTACTTTATCAACGAAAGCAAAGCTCTGCTTGTATGAAGGTGTTTCAATCTATAAAGTTTCATTCTAAAAAGTGTCTCAATCTAAAGAATCACAAAATGTATCTTTAAAAGTGCAGAAGGCAGAGCAAACAACGTAAAGTACAAAATTATGGCTTGTATCGAAATTAATGCGACGATAACGTGGTGTTTGGAAGCGAGAATTTAACTAGAAAGTTTGAAAAGCGAGTGTTCGATTAAGATATCTCGCTATTAATCCCTGACATCGTTATTTTATGTCGGTACATCGTCAGTCTATGGTACGCGACAATTATTTTATCGACGCCACGTCGATCCTCTTTATTTCAATGTAATATCGGCGTAGATAACGCTGTGATAACGTTATCAAACGATACAGTTCGTATCGTGATAACGCAATGTTCGTTGGTCGATAGATTCCCGTTGAGCTACAACCGTCGGTAATTTCTCAACCTCGTATTTTCAACCCCTAAACAAGCGTCGGTAAGCAAGGAGAAGCTTAAGCTCCCGTTCGATATCTCGTCATTCTAGCAACTGAACGTTGTACCGTTATCATTCGACTCGACTATCGACTGTCGAGTCGTTCTTATCATATAACGGTAAAGAGTAATATTCTCAATAATTCGTAATATCCGAAATGTATTTATTCTTTGCACACACCACTCTTTTAATGACTTTTAATCGTAAAGATCATATCACCGAACGAATAAAAATTTTGTAGGCGTGTCAACTCGTTAGGTAACTTCTCTTTTTCTACAAAACTCTAAAATATTTTACTTACTGCTTAAAAGTGACGTTAGGTGAAGGAAAAAAAACGGGGCAAAGGGAGAGGACACGGAAAGTATGCAATATATCGCGATATTTCAAAAGATATCGGAAAATTTTGTTGCTGCATTGTAATTACATTTATTTTATCATCGATTTTTTTCTTTTATTTGCTTTCTCGGTTCTCTTTTTGTTTTTAGTTGCCTTTCAAATTGTAATCTCGCTAAAACGCGAGATTATCGATCCTTTCACACCCCCGTTGTCCGGGTGGCTTTATCCGCGTACGATAACCGGAGCCTTCGGTCGCGTCGCGGAGATGGTGCTAGATGAGGGCTGCGTCTGACCGTGTCGGGTCATGCACTACTGCGGCTGAATTAAAGTCTAATGTAGCGAGGTGTCTGCACTCTCCCCGCGCGCGGCCACCCGTGCGGCTTCACACGCTATCGATTAGCCTTCGATTGTTTGGCCGTTACTTTCTATTTCCAGCAACGCGCCGTCGCCGGCCGTTCACCAGCGAATCTAATTACAATTTCTCCCCGCCGACAAGATCGTTTTCGTGACATTTCCCTTCTCCCCTTTCCCCTCCCTCTCCCCCACTGTTGTCGTTGTCCTTCTCCTCGTTGTCTGCTCCCCATTCTCCTCCCCCCCTGAAGATCTGAATCGATGAGCTTCAGTCTTCTATTTTCGAAACGAGCACGTCGATTTTCTTATGGACTTCCTTATGAATATCGAATTGCTGATACCGCGGCGTTACTTTGTTTCGTTAGAGTTCGTTCGTTAGAGTTGCTGCTGTTCTTAGTTGGCAAATTATCTCCCTCTCCGCGGGGGATAGCATTACATTTATATACACGAAGTTATATAATTATTTCAGCCGTAATTGCGTTTAACCGCGCGCAATCGCTTCTTTCGACTATCGCTAGGCGATATTGCACAAATGCAACCCACAAATGTATATCCCGATTCTGCTTGATCATTTAGTATCGATATTATGCTCTCAATACTGCTTTTCATGTTTTTCACGACTTTTAATTAGCGATACCACGTGAAGACGCGTGATGTTGCGAATGTTTGATTTTTTAAACGAATATCTCACGTTGCTAACGCGTCGGAATGTGCATCATCCGGGCGCAGCCTGCCTCCCCGGATGTGTCCCGAATTCTACTTTCCGGATAATTATTTTTCGATAAAACGGGTCAAATTGGTAACGAATCGCGACACCGATGATCGTCGCGCGGGTGATCGTTCTCGAAGCTTTTTCTCTCTCTCTTTTTCTTTTTTCCTCCACCCCTTCCCCTCCCCCCTCTCTCTCTCACGGGTTCGTAAAAATAGAATCAATAAAAGGAATCGACGTTACGTGGAAGTAGGTCTGCGCGCTATCCCGCGAGTCAACTCGACAAGGTTCTCGACCTTTGCTATTAAGGGACGTACCTATCCGAGTACCGATCCGAGCACCCTCCTTTATTAATCGCGCTCGATTCCGCGTTGTCTTCGCGGTCGTCGGATCGATGCCCCGAGCCCGGATTTTATTAACGAGTGCGAATCGATGCTAGGTATGTGTACATATATGTGTGTATATGTTAAGCTCGCGCCCGTTGCACAGTGCGAAATTTGTCCAAGCTGCAAGGGGAGTATAAACATTGCATCCGCAGTTGCATACAAGCCATGGCATAACGTTCGCTTCTATATATTAATCTCACGACTATTATGCGGTCGTTACATAACCAGAGATCTGTAATTATTTGTTTATTTACAAACGATTGCTTTTGCTGGTAGAAACTAAATCGCGCGCAGAATCTATCGCACTCTTCCATTCTTTTCCCTTTCCCCCGACGAGCGCGATTGCTCCCAATTTGAGCTGCACTATAGGAAAATTTGAAACTGTAAATCTGTATTCCTTTCTCTCGTCAGATCCATACATCTAGATTTTCCATCTGACATTCCTCTAATATCCTACGATTGCGCGAATTCTAGAAATCAATATATAACAAGACATAATAATAAATTCATATGCTCAACATTAACAGTTTCTTAGGACGCAAGGGAAAATATAAACGTATTATTACGCGTATTATTATGTAAACATAATTACGCGTAATTACGTAGAACATTGTTGCTCCCTCACATCGAGCGAGTTTTCGCACATTGTGCATCGAGCCGGGCATTTCTATTACTGCTCGCATGGCCGACTGCTCGCGGCCGCGGTCCAATCCTACGCATTGCCGGGGTATCCCCGGCCATGTTAGGCGCATGCAAGAGCCCCGACCGATACCATCTAACCCTGATCGGTCCTAACCCTGAAACCAGATCTACTACCCACTACTGCCTTCCCTCCCCGCGGAGTGGGAGGGCATCCCCGCTTTCAAACATGCGCCACTTTTCGCGATTTTTTTCTCGTTGCTCGCACAGTTCGCGCAATTATGCGCTTTGCCGAGCGATGCAAAAGTGCAGGGTGCCCGTAGAATAATCACGGGAAGTAGTGTAGGGGAGCATTTTCTCCGTAGGCAGTCCGGTACGAATTCCTGTTCTCTCTTGGAGGGGAAAATTCGTTTGTGAGATAAAACCAAAGTAAACAGGAACCATAACGTTTATAGGGGCGTGGGTGTTATATTCACCTCGCGTTTTATTTATTCAGTTGGACATTCTACGGTCTTCCGTCTCTCACTGGCTCTCTCTCTCTCTCTCTCTCTCTCTCTCTCTCGCTCAATATAACGACCTCACTCCCACTTCGGCGTAAACTAATTTCGTTCCATTCCCCCCCAAAATTGCGTGCTGTAACATTTATGAGAACCGCGTAGAGGCTTTTTCTGCAATCTTCGATTGCATAAAGCTCATCCCATGGCGACGTCGAGGTTCTCGAGTTGAGAGCGGAGAAACCGCGTTCAGCTTCTGCGAAGATCCACGACACCGCCAAAATCGGTGGTCGCCGTAAATTCTCATCGGATCGGAGCACCTCTTCCCGAGCATTCCAAGTGGGTCCCGGCGATGAACGATTGCTAAGTCGAACCGATCGACACCCCGACATGGTCCCTTGTTCGTTCCTCTCTCTCTCTCTGTCCTTCCCTCTCTATCTCTCTTTCTTTCTCTCTCTCTCCTTCTCTCTCTTTCTCTCTTTTTCTCTCCGCCTCTTCGTTGGCTCGCGACTCGATCCCTCCTTGTCTCGGCGGTAAATCGAGTCGCGGAGTCGAGTCGACTCGGTCGTGTGTTTCAGGCTGGCTGCCGGCTGCCGCCGCCGTGAATCAATACCCGCATTGCGCGTGCCACCTCTCTTTCTCTTTCCCTCGCCCTCCTCTACCCTCTACCTCTCTCTCCCTCTCGCTCGCCCTCGGTCGCTCTCCCTCGCGAACCGAACTCTCTCCTTTCCTCTCTCCCTGTCTCCTCTCTCTCTCGTTCTTGCTCTCGTATTCACCCTCTTCCTCCCTGTCTCGCTCGTCTTTCCTCTTTGTCCTCCCCTTTTACCTTCTCTCTTACGCCCCGTGACTTTCTCTCCCTCTCCATCTTCTTCTCTATCTTACCCACTTTCTTCACCCCTTTGCTCTCTTCTTTCGCTCTATTCTGCCTCTCCTTTGTCACCGCTTTCTTCCTCCGTGCATCTTCAGTTAACCATATCCTGTTGACTTCTTCGTTCCCGCAACCTCCTCTTTTGTTCTCCTCCACGGCGGCAATTTCGTCGCTGCTTCTTCTTTATCCTCATTCGCCGATCTCGTATCTCACATTGTCAGTCCCTTTCGTCAGTGCCAGGCGGCCAAGGATCATAGAAAGGAGGAGAGAGCGAACTGGAGACAGGCGAGCGGAGAAAGTGATGAGCGTGGGACGTGTACGGGGACACCGAACGGGTGGAAAGCTTCCCGAGTTCTCTCTCTCTTTCTTTCTTTCTCGAGGGTTATACAACCCCCGGCGTGTAGCATGCTCCGCGGAAAAACATGTATACGCGAAAAACCGCCCACGCCGTCGCCTCGTCATCGTCGTCTTCGTCGTCATCGTCGTCGCCTATGTCGAGGCCGACGTCTCTCTCTTTCTCTGTCGAGGCGCCTTCTCCTCGGGAATGCGGAAGTGCCGGCTTCCCGCCGAGTCGTTCGCGAACCCTCCG